AAGCAGTAGTGATGAGTAAACGTGAACGTATTCAAAGAGTATATCTCCGTATTAAGGCTTTATGATTGTATAGAAATGTATCCATATATAAAATATTAAATACACTGATAGATATTTTTCCTCTCAATACATAAAATAAATTAAATCAAATATAANATATATATATAACATGTAATTAAAAGTGAAATACGTTTTTCATTCCCTTAATATTTTTTTATAATCTTTAAATTCTTAATTTCTGAGAAAATTAAGTATCTTTAATAGCGTATATTTAGAGGTATTTGCTTAAGTCTTCCGAGTAAAAAGTTGCTTTTATATTCGTTTTTTGCGTCAACAAGACCGCCTGTAAAGTCCATTGTGCGCCGCAAAAATGTACTTTAAATTCTTGCGCGTGCTAATTTACTGGGTAAGAAACGGGAATACACCCATCGCCTGATTAGATAAGATGCAGCGATTCGAAAAACACGCAAAGTGGATAGTGGTTGTTACTGGTCGGGTAAGTTTCCGCGTCGTCGCGAGAACTTCACGAGACGAAAAACGAGTAAAGTAATCGCGAATCGATACGAGCGGCCCTCTAAACTGCTTGAAAGTTGAAAGAGATCCAATGCCACGCTGCCTTCTTTCTAGGATCATCGTGAAACTAGCGGTGGCGTTTGGCCGATGGCTGAGTGAATCAATTTCGCAAACTGCGACGTTCACCTCTATCAAAATGGCGAGGAAGTTTTCAACTGATAGAACTAAATAACTTAATCTGTATATATATTAAGATTTTTTAAATTCACATTATACAGTAAAAAATAACATTTCAATTTTAACACTTTACATATCCCAGAAAGTCCACTCTAATTTTTATGTCGAAATAACTCATCGTCGTGTTACTTGTTGGCAAATTGAAAATGTTAATGAATTGACATTAACATTTCCTTTCAACACATACTAAAGTAGCATAAATATAACACATGAAAAAGTCGCGAAAATGATAGAATATCAACTGTATGTTAATTTTACATTGAAGTAATAATGAAAAGTTGGTAACGCATAACACACAAGAAACTTTTAATATTTAGACACAGGATATTTTACTGTGTAGAAATAGTTTGATAGCGGAATATTATTTTCTGAATTTGCAGTTGTGCATTCTATTCGACCTTTTCGATAGAAAGAAACCGATTAATTCGCGCACAATTTAAAATGTTTCGCGCGATACGTACCGTATTTTCTTATCAGTGTGCGCGCTTTTCCAGAGAAACTGTATAAAAGTCCAAAGTAGAGTTTTCAAGGAAGAGATATTCCAATCGAATTTTACCCGGGATACTTTCGCGCGAATACCACTTTCCGCCTCGTTGCAGCAATCGGCATAATCAGATGCGGTTGAGCGTTGATTCGGGGAACTTTTTGGATTGCCGAAAAGTCGACGTCGAAGCGACATATCACCGCGACGATGTTCAGTTCTGTGTGGAGAAGGCGAAATTCCACGGGACGAATCGCGGCTCGTAACGGCAAACACGCTCGAGACGTGTACGATTTCTCCGACCCGGGTCCCTTACACTTCGCGGGTACATAGCGCGCTGGAATTGAAAGTGGAGGGAACACGAAGATCCCGGAGTCTCGGTAAATCTCTCGAGGAATTCAGTGTCGGCCCTAGAAAGAGGTGGGATACCGGGGGTGGCCGAGTCGGGGGCCAGGAGGGTCAGGGGTGTTCTAATCGGCTTGTACGTGTACTTCCGTGCACCCTCACAAATAGCTAAGCTCGTTGAGGAAGGCGGTTAAGCTCGGGAGATGTTTCCATCGAAGGTGGTCAAATTCCAGGAAAATCCCGTAGAGACGCGGAAATGAAATTATCGGCGCGGGAACAAAGTTGGATAGAAAAACTTAAGACGTTACACACCGCCGGGCCGGTTACGATGTGTTATTCCCGTCCATCGACGGGCGAGCGTTTTATTTCACTTCGCTGCTAACGGGCGCTTCGTGCGATCGCGTGATGTGTAACGTCGCCTTTAATTGCACCGTAATTGAATGCCGTTGCGAAAATTCGAGTCACGCGCAACGGGCATGGTGAATTTTGTTATCGACTCGCCGTATACATCGCAACACACCACGGTGTTACTTAATAAATACCACGCGATGAATCGTAGTACATTAATTTTAATACAAAATCTTAGCAATTATATTACGTCCAGTTGAATTTATGTCGGATAAATTGATACAGCTTACACTACTCTTCGTACTGATTATTATTATTCACTAATGCTTGATGGTGTTGGAGATCGATCGCGTTATGAAATTCTATAAATCTACACGGAGGAAAAGATTTCTTTAGATTTAGTGCATACCGTTTCACTGATTCAATTAGTGACATTTCCACCGATTCATCTTAAGAGAGCACGGAACATGTATATTTCTATTATAACTGTTACACGAACAATCTATTAATGTCCACAGATTATCACTTTATCAATGGTATCTCACATTTCGCCGAGTATCGTTTAGTCGTCGCGGCGATGTTAGCTTCTTTCATTCTTTATCGCTTCTTCGCGAAAGAGCGCGCTTATCCCCCCGTTCGACGGCGCCGTCGGCTAGAGAGATCCCAACGGTCACGGCGATTTCTTTCACGGATAACCGGGCGATTTGCAAAAAAAGACATCACCCGCGGAGACGTCACGCGAAATACCGCCGTGACGCGACGAATGTCTCCCCAGCTGACGGCGAATTTGGCGATCTCGCAGGGAACCCACGTATCGCACGACGGCGCAATACGGTGACGGCTCACGTGCCATGATGATCAGTCACGGGAATATTCCCTGCGTCGCGAAACGCACATTTACGCCGTGTGATGCCATTTGCGGTGCTCGCCAGCGCAGCCGTTCCTAATTCAGCGCAATCATCCCGGGCCGGGGGTCGCACTCGACCAACCATTCAGTACTCGCTCGTTATTTCCGCCAAATTATGAAGGAAGTCCTATTCGAGCGTGCGATCGGTCCGCTGCATAATTAATGCGCCTTTGCGGACGCATCTCGGACGCGACGAGAATTCGAAAGACGCTTCGGGAGAGCCGATATCGCGAGCGTTATTTTGTACGCCCCGCGAAAGGGGACATTGTCTGCGTTCAGCGGGAAAAATCAATCAATCAGCGCTTCATGGCTATTATTTCTGATTGGTGGCATTCTCTGGATCTGGCGGGAATCTGAAGGAATACTCCAATCACAGATGATAATCACTTTCCATCCGAGTAAAATATTTACTTGATCCGAGTAGAATTTATCTTACCCAAGTGAAAATTCGCTGAGTATTAAGGTATTAGTTATTCACTGAAATCTAGCGCTTTTCTTCCTGTATATAATTCCGCACGAGCGTCATGTTACAAGATAAATAAAAACAAACAATGTGGCTGTTTGAATATTTTCAGATTGGCAATGTAAATTGTCAAAATGATTTTACTGTTTGGACCGTTTTTCCTTAAAACCGGATTTGTAAATCTAGACTTTTTCGAAAATAATATTTTTCGTAAACCGTATTAATGTTGCCGTGTAAATGTAATCATCGGAAAGAGGGACGTCGAAAGCGAGGTAGCAATTATGATAATTAATTTGCTCCAATTTTATTTATATGACTATTTATATGATTTATGCAAATTTATGTAAGATAATGAAGATAACGGTATTCAAGACTGCCTCTGAAGTTTCCCCCGAGATTTATATTTTTCTCGGAGTCTTCTAAATAACGGACTTTAATGTGAATCGAGCGACTGAGATTTCTTTATGCATCTTTCTATCCGAACGTCTGGTTCGAAAGATTGGTGCGCAGTCCGCAGCGAATGCGCCTGCAAAGTCTTCGAACTATTTAAATGGATCATTAATTAATTAATTAACGCTATGGGACTGGCTTGTCGAAGTGGGAAGACGTTCCTTCGCGGAGAAGGGAGAGCTTAAAGCGTCGTTCACTTTGGATTGGCTCCATTCCCATGCTGAGTCTTACAAATCGTCTATTAATCGAACGAACTCGTCGTCAACTGCATCTTTATATCGCTAATGTTTTACTCTTTTATCGTTTTCTCAATTAGCTGTGTGCTTTATCTGAAATTTTACCTGAAGTTTTGCCTGAAAATGTGACATATAAATAACTCTGTGACATGCGAATACCGGTGCGTACGCTAATTCTTCACGCTGTGCGCACTAAGCGAAGCTTGAATTTTCAGAACTCGGCTGGAATAAACTTTGCGCTAGCGAAAATTTCAAACGAGACTTAAACGTCTAGGATGTGTTTCCTTTTTAATAACGCACGTCAGCAATACTTGGATTGTAAAAAGAAGAAATAGCAGAGGCCTTATAAAAAAGCCTTTGTTTGGAAAGAGCATCCGTTCGGCAGCGAATAATTGATTTCTAATTCACCTCTGATTTTTTGAGAACAAACCCAACAATTCGCGAACGAAACATTCAAAGCGAATGAAAAAGCTAGGCGTTATTGTGCTCTTAACAGTTTAACTCGTTAAACAGCCACGGATTTTGTACACATTTAATGGGGAGACTATGAATATACATTTGTTTTCAACGTTTGTGGTATGAAAAGAGAAAAAAAATGCTCTCGGAAAATGCTCTGGGAAAATTTATAAAAAGCACACGTTACTTTTCCATCTTCGCGTCGAGAATAGTTAATGTATGTCTTTCCGACGGGACAAGAACTCCGAGGAGTTTACATTTATATTTCATACGCAGCGAGCAGCACGCAGTACCGTTAATGACGTCACTACGGCAAAGTAACGCGTGTTAAACATTGCAAGGTATTTTACCACAAATAAAGAAAATGTAACCCAGATTTCTCTATGTGCTAATACAAGTGTAACAGTAATCTCAGCGAGCTTTCTTTCGCGTTTCCGCATTCTCGGATTACAAGCTGCTTTTCATTTGAAGTTCATAGGTGTTCGTTATTTTATTTTCGAAATACAAGACGAGTCGATACTTCGCACGAGATAGGACGAGAGTTAAATTCTCGTTATTACTTACCGTAGTCGTCTTCGTAAATGATTGCCACATTGGTCCAATTGAGGAACTCCATGACGTCTTGATAAGCGGTGTTGAGCAGACTTTGTGCGGGATAGAGATTGATGCTGAATTCCTTCGCCTCCGCGTCCAGGTCCAGCCTGGCCTCGAGATGTGGAATGTCGAGGGCGTCGCAGATACTGTGAATGTGCTGGCCCAAAATCGGATCCGAGGGCCCGAAGACTGCTTGGACGCCATACTTGACCTGCTGGCACGCTGCAACAATGAGTGACGAGCGTGTTTCAGCGCGTAAGTCGTTCTGGCCACTGTGCAAGGATATTATGACACTTCCTGTCATTTTGTTGCACTACAATTTCCTAATCGTAATAAATATCGCGTTAAATTGTATGCTTTTATCGCAAATAGGCACTGAGAAATAAACAATATTCAGCAGATTCCTTCTTACCTTCCGGACAATTTTTCATCGCTTGGAATAATAACACATAATAATTTTTTAATAAGGAACCTTAATGTGTAAATTAAACATTCACCTATTTTTATTACTTTATTGAAATTAGCGATTTATTATATATCTTTTCCTTCGAATCACTGATTTCTCACCTCAAAATTCAAAATAACTCTAAACTTGATGCGATGGAGTAATTCGGCCAGCAGCATTATTTTTTGTGATCGGAAATCTATAAGAAACTTATTCTGATTAGAATTATTTGACAACCATTTTTTTGTCGGCTTGTGTAATTAACGGTAATTTGGCGGAATAAATTTTAATATTTTGTTCACATATTCATTCAATAAATATATTCGTGTGTATTAAATGTTCAAATCAAATTTTGTGTGTCAAATCTCTCTTGCCACAGTTCGCGTAGAATATATGCGGAATATACTTGGAAAGAGGGAGACAGAGATCGCGGCATACAAATGAACATTTAAAAAGTTTTATTTAACGCGTGATTTTCAATTTCGAATCAAATTGCACGTAGAATTCAGTATATTTCCATTTACATTGTCCGCGACAAGCGTAGAATTTTATTATATCAGTACGCGCAATACATTTAAACTCAGAACTCAGAACAGGTGATTTTAATCGAAGTCACGTTTAAAGCTACCAGTATTACACTTTCTATCATATCGTGTGCAACCACAGAGTGTAATCGTTATCGTGAGTGTCCAGCAGATGATTAAATGGTTAAATATTCGAACGGTTGAGTGCACAACCGATAGAGCTAATTTGTAATTATAATACGCATGTATAATAATAAAACGTGATCAGCCGCATCGTTATAATAACGTTATCATAACAAGGTACTAATCAAGAACGCGCAAATAATAGAAGCGACTGATAAGGTATACAGGGAAATATAATGGAGGAAAAGCAGCAAAACCGATATATCATTCTGTTTTTGGGCTTTAAACACTGTTGAGAATGTATCCATGGATATATCGTTTTGTCATATCTATGTAAGTTTGGTGTTCCTCCTTCAATTATTATATATTTTATTTCACATATGTAAGAGAGAGAAAGAGGGAGAGATGATTTTTCGCGCACCTGGTTTACGACTTTCACGTTAACATCCGGAGATCCGGAAATATCCCGGAAAGCTATCTGAAAGATTCAACGGCAATTTTACGTTCCATATCCATTTTATGCCTTCTTTAGGAAAGCACATAAAACAGGTATTTTATACATCATGAAAGGAGACGCGCGTCTTTAAGCGTTATATAATACTTGACTCCGCAACACCTTAAACAAGATTACGACGGGAACGATAGTTGGATCTGTTCTTGCCGAGCCACCGTTACGGTATGGTAATCTTAATTATCCGGAAAAATGTCGCGGACATTACGAACGCATTTCCCTTGCGCGCGCTCGATATTCGTTCGCGGCGTTTACTTAGCATGAGCGTTTTCTCGCGCAATTAGCGTTTCCGCCCGTGCGCTGGCTGTTTTCGCACGGAGAAAGAAGAAACCGATTAATTCGGAATTACGGAGCCCTCCGTACCGGTAACGCCGGCATAATGATCCCGTGTCACGGTCGATAACCCCGGCATAGCCAAGAAGTGCGCCGTAAACTAACGCTAACGTCGCGTTAACGCTATACTAAACGTAGGACACGACCGTACTCGCCTCTCTCTCTCTCTCTCTCTCTGTCTCTCCTTCGAAGTTACTAGCATAAGGGCCGATTGTACGTGCAGAATGGCCGGCTGGAGGTGTGTTGGCACCCAGGGTTATCCTAAGTTGTAAGTGTTGCTGCACGTCCGGCCAGACAACCGACTCGAGTTACCTCGAGGAGCGCCGCACTCAGCTTCGCGTTCGCGGGAACGGCCCGAGTTAATACGTAGTCGCGCGCGCGGACGGAAATCGATTTTCGAGCGCGACTCAGCGAGACGGCTTTTGTCATTCGGATCAAGGAATGTTGAATAACGGTAAACGCGAGAGCGATATCAACGTCACTAGCAAATTGCCCGTCGAGCTCCTAAGCGGAATCGCGAGCGACGACGTCGCATGATTGTTACGGGAATTGTAACGGGAAGCGCGGAATCGCGACCACCGTGGAATCGCGAGCGTGGAATATGCGGATTCAGCGAGTCTCCGGCGAATAGAAATTAGCGATGGGTATCTCTCCTCGATTCCGCCATCACCGCCGGCGGAATGCAAGCGACGAAGTCGCGGATACCCGAATTGCGTGATATTTCTTTCGCGAGCGGACGGACTTTATGTGTGACGCAATTGTGTCCGTTGTTTGCGCGCGAAATTCGCGTGTAGCGGCCACAGGCGAGATCTAAAGCGGTGTCCGAAATGTCGGGTCACTTTATGCCGGTCGGTTAAGCCCCGACCGGTTACCTCCGATTATCACAGGGAACAGTGGAAAAGATCAACGGGAATGGAAGCTGGCGAATAATGGCTTCTCGTGGAGCGGAGATAATGGGCTTTCGAGGTTCCATTATCATTCTACCCTAGCGGCGGTATCGTCGTCATTATATGCGGATTACAACAATCTGGACGGTTTCGATCTTTATGGCGTATCGTCTAATGGAGCTACCGAACGAGCGATAATGTGAAACCGCAGTGCGACGATGCCGGCGCGAGTTTGGTTAAAATGAAATATCATATAGCGATGTTAGTAAACAGCGAAAGCCAATTATTGTTTTCGTCGGGGTTAAACAGCCCCACTTGACCCATCTGATGATAAAGTTTCTGCGGAATTATCGCGGATAATTTGTACTCTTTTGAGTTGAATCAGTGAAAATGTCACTAACTGAACCAGTGAAACAGTATTCCATCGGTAATCAGTGAGTATTCGCTCATTTTTAATGGAATCTCTTCCACTTAGCTCTTTTGTCTAATATTGTACTGATTTTAGCGAGTGAAAGATTCACTGCAAATCGCTGTTACGCGTCCCGTAGCAGAAATATATGTACATATCGTGCATGCATTCAATTATATGTCGTATTTGACGTAGTTCATACGGTAGCAGATTCAAGAGCTAGAATACAGATGTTCTTTGAAATTTTCCCCTGGAAATTGAAGCAAATACGCGCTCGATACATACGAATTGCAAAATTTTGTTTGAGATAAATGTTTATTCGACAGATCGAGATTTCAGTTTTGACATTTTTAATCGTTCTCACATGTTGGACAATGCTCCAATTAATTTTCGCACATACTTCCGCTATGTAGAAGTATCTGCAATTCTTCGTGACCGATAAAACTTTTCTTTGCAGAAAAAAATCAGTATTTTGTCGGTATAGTTTTCAAATGTAGCATCCCTTTACATATGAAATCTTCGTAAATATCTCTCAGTCAGATTATATTTTATTAATATGCAGGAACGAAAATGCGGGAGAGAGTAGAAGAGAGAGAGAGAGAGAGAGAGAGAGTGGAGTGTCAGGAAGCTTATAAAACCGAATTTCACAATAGCGTCGAAACGCTTTATCTGCGCATAAATGCGTTCATTCAACTTATAGTGTACATTCGATATTGATGGAACGCCGCATGGCACCAATATTTTTCGTGAATGCGGCTTATTGTGTTGCGTCAATCTGTTCGGCATTAAATTTGCACAGATTAGTAAGCCACGAGCAAGCACCGAAGTAAATGGCTGAGGTCGAAATAAACTTTCAGCCGACTCGTGCTGGTGCTCAAAGCGCTCGCGGAAAAATCAAGTTGGTTGTAAACGAGTCTCTCTCTCGAGAGCAAACGAGGTTTAATTCGTCGCTTAATGGCGTGATCGTTAGTCCAGCCAGAGCGTTTACTCTCTTTTTCTTTCCTTCTTTTCCTATCTCGCATTTCCTCTCTCTCTCCTCTCTCTCTCTCTCTCCATCTCTCTCTTGCTCCTTTTCACTCGATATATATGTAAAGATATATTATATATTTTTTTAATGTCATTACGGCACTTCGTATTCTCTCTGAAGAAACAGCTTTCAGCAAAATGCTATAATAAATCGAATTTTCTTTGTCACCAACCAGTTTACCACTTTAGATCGTGCGTACGTACATATCGTTGGATTTTTAAATATTGGTACAATGGATTTCCTTTTGATCCAATATCGCGCACTGTTCGCCTTCAAAAGCGGAGCGGTCGAATGGCAGAAGAACAAAATGCGCGTCGGAAAATGGGAGAGAGCAATGAGCGCGCGAAAAGATTGTGCAATGATAAAAACGGTGTACAAAGAGCGATAAGATTTCTTGATCGTTTGCGCAGAATAAATTCGTTCGCTTTTCTCTACGCGTCCGTATACGTTCATACGCTCCTTTGACCACGAAACCTTCGACCATTCGGGGAGTCCGTTTATCGTTTAATAAAAATCTCTCCTATTTTTCTCATCCTTTTTATTCTATTTTCGTTCCTTTAAGGAAACCCAGCTTTCCCAGCGTTCTCGATGGACTCTTTGATAGATCGAACTCCGTCTCCCCTTCTACCGGCGGTGTTTTCTAGATTAAACGGCATTTCGATATTTATTTATTTTTATTTTTTCAACATTCACTCGGTCGATTTCCTCTCAATACAATCGTGCCGCGTTGTTAAGAGAACGAAGGAGGAAACGTCGGCTGGAGTGGCGCGATGGGAATAGAGATGAGAGCAGATGGGACGGAAAGCGGAAGGTAAAGAGACGTTAGTGGGCAGTTGAATAGCAAGGAAATAAAATGCACGTCGGGAAATGGAAGCGAACAACTACTGCAGGCAAGAGGGATGTAAAGGCGCATATAACGGTGGAATATAAGAACCCAGGAGATGGATAAAAAATAATGCGTGA